AAATACATAGGGAAGTTACAAAGTTCTTAACTTCAGATTAGTGCTGCAATAAACATGGGAGCGCAGATACCTCTTCAATATATTGATTGCCTTTTTTTGGGGTGTATACGTAGCAGTGGGATTGCTGACTCATATGGTAGCTTTATTTATCGTTTATTGAGGAGCTTCTAAACTGTTTTCCATAGTGGTTGTACTAATTTAGATTCCCACTAACAGTGTATGAGGATTCCCTTTTCTAAACATCCTTGCCAACATTTGCTATTGCTCATGTTTTGGACAAAAGTTGTTTTAACTGGAGTGAGATGATACCTTATTGTGGTTTTGATTTTCATTTATCTGATGATCAGTGATGTTGAGCACCTTTTCCTATACCTTTTTGCCATTTGTATGTTTTCTTTTGAGAAATGTCTATTCAGGTATTTTACCTGTCTTTAACTCATAAGCTAATTTTTTTCCTCTAGAGTTGTTTAAGCTCTTTATATACTCTGGCTATCAATCCCTTGTCAGACGGATAGTTTGCAGATATTTTCTCCCATTCTGTGGGTTGTCTCTTCACTTTGTTGATTGCTTCTTTTGCTGAGCAGAGCTTTTTAATTTGATGTGATTCTATCTGTCCATTTTTGCTTTGGTCGCCTGTGCTTGTGGGGTATTACTCAAGAAATCTTTTCCCAGAGCAATGTCCTGGGAAATTTTCCAAATGTTTCCTTTTTGTAGTTTCAGTCTGAGGTCTTAGATTTAAGTCTTTAATCCATTTCAAGTTTATTTTGTATATGGCAAGACATAGGCATCTAGTTTCATTCTTCTGCATGTGGATATCATTTTCCCAGCACCATTTATTGAAGAGACTGTCCTTTCTCCAATATCTGCCTAGACATTTCTCAAAATAAGACATACAAATGGCAAAGAGGTATATGAGAAAGTGTTTAACTTCATTGATATAATAATCTGAGAAATGCAAATCAGAATTACAGTATGGTGTCATCTCACTACAGTTAAAATGGCTTTTATCCAAAAGACTGACAATAATACATGCTAGTGAGGATATGGAGAAAAGAGAACCCTTGTACACTGTTGATGAAAATGTAAGTTAGTAAAACTACTATGTAGAACAGTTTTGAGGTTCCTCACAAAACTAAAAAGAGCTACCATACGATCCAGCAATCCCACTGCTGGGTATATACCCAAAAGAAAGGAAATCAGTTTATTGAAGACATATCTGCACTCCCATATTCATTGCAGCTCTGTTCACAATAGCCAAGATTTGGAAGCAATCTAAGTGTCCATCAACAAATGAATGGATAAAGAAAATGTGACACATATACACAATGGTGCACTATTCATCCATAAAATATATGAGATACTGTTATTTACAAAAACATGGATGGAACTTCTGACAATTATGTTAACTTAAGCCAGGCACAAAAAGACAAACTTCACGTGTTCTTACTGATTTGTGAGAACTAAAAATTAAAACAATTGAACTCATGGAGAGAGAGAGAAGCTGATGGTTACCAGAGGCTGCAAAAGGTAGTTGGAGGTTTGGAGGGAAAGTGGGGATGGTTGATGGGTACAAAGAGTAGTTATATAGAATTAATACGATCTAATATTTGCAAGCACAACAGTCAATAATAATAATTTAGTTGTGAATTTCAAAATAATGAAAAGAGTATAAATGGATGGTTTGTACCACAAAATATAAATGCTTGAGGTGATGAATGCCACATTTACCCTGATATGATTGTTACACATTGCATAACTGTATCAAAATATCTCATTTACTCCATAAATACGTACAACTCCTATGAACCCATAAAAACTGAAAATAGAAATATTTACAAAAAGAAAGAAAAAAATGCTTATCTTGGAGAAAATGGGAGTATAGGTATCATTTTATCTCATTTTTCTACTTTACTGTTTACAGTTTTTAGTGGGAAAGCATTTCTTTTATAACACAGAAAAGCAAAGACAGCCATTTTCTTACTTTGCTATCTACTCTCTTCCATCTTAGTGTTGGAATCTTTAAAAATACTTGAACATGTTGCTGCACAGAATAAATAACCATGTTTTCCCATCTGCTTTACAGTTAGATATGGCCTTGTGACTTAGTAATGGCCAATAAGATGTAAAGGGAAACATTATATACAATTTTGAGAAAGTTGGATCATTTGGAGCTAAAATTGACTGGAAAAAAACGGGACCTTTTTCTTCTATCTTCCATCTTTCCTTGTCATGCAATGATATTTTAGAATTCCCACAACCATCTTGGATCATGAAGTGAACTTGAAAATAGAAGCACTAAAGAGAGTGATGGAGCAGAACGATAGGAGCCTGGGGCCCTGAATCACAGCGTGGAGCCTTCTTACCTGCTTTGGCTTATCTACCTCTAGACTTCTCTTCTCTTTTTCCAGAGATGGAAAAAATGTTGACTTTGTTTAGGTGATCATTGCTGTAGTTATTACTTGTTGTATACACAGAGAAACCTAAACCTAACTAATGCAGGGAGATAAAAAATAAATAATCATAATGTTGTTAATAATTTAAAGTAATACAATTTATGAACACATAAATCAGCACACAAATGATTTACATAAGTTATTTGTAAGAATAAAGAGCTAATTATTCAGTCCTGGGATTCCTAGGTTCCAATAGCAATCCACCTTTCACATCTGTATGAATTTACTGCATCTATTGAATCTCAGTATCTTATTCAATATAATAGGGTGTGCAGTTCCCACATTGATCTCTATCTCCTGGTCTTCATTCTCTTGTGTATTCCTCCCCTTGAGAATAGATTGAAATTATTGTTTCTATTCTGTTCTAATTTATATCTACATTTGTATATGCAGAGAAGCCAAAACCTAAGAAATGAGCTTTAGCTTGGTTTAGGAATATACAACATGCAACAACTACAGTAACAATCACCTAAACAAGCTCAACTTCTGATATTGGGTTACGAAAGACCATTGTTTCCATCTTGCACTTGCTTACTCTTTGTCTCTCGCTGTTTCTCTCTTTCCCTCCCTCCTTCATTCTCCTTCGCTCTGTTGCCATGAAGAAGCCAGCTGCTATATCCTGAGCAGCCCTGTGGAGAAGCCCATACTTCATGGCTGAGATCCGAAGCTGTCAGTTCAGCAGCCAGTAAAAAAACTGAAGCCTAATAATCACGTGCGTGACCTTAGTGGATCCTTTGGACTCACTTAAGTCTTGATATGTCTGCAGCTCTCACTCACAGCTTATGTGAAACCTCATTAGAGACTCTGAGTCACAGAAATCCAGGCAAATCACTTCCAAATTTCTGACCACAGAAAGCGTGAGAAAATAAATCTTGGTTGTTTTCAGCCATTAAGCTTTGGAGTAATTTGTTATTCAGCAGAAATTGTATTACATAGAGGTGTATCTCCTCATAGGTATTTATTTTAATAAAACAGCTTGAACCCAGGTATTCAAAGCTGCAGTGAGCCAAGATTGTATCATTGCACTCCAGGCTGGATGATAGAGTGAGATCCTCCCTCTTAAAAATACATATATAAAAAGAAAAGAAACAAAAATGTTTTTATTAAAAATAATTTACAGAAAATTATTTCTGGGAATTTGATCTCCTATTTGCAGAGCATACTCCTCTTTCCACTTTAATTTCTAGATAAAGATGAAGAAAATGTCTTATTTATCTTTTTTACAAGCCTTATGTTAGTGTATCATGGTCTGAATATAGAGTAGGCATAACAAAAGTTGCTTCACTATGGGCCATGCTTTAGGTCAGAGTTTTTAACCTCAGCACTACTGACATTTTAGGCCAGAAAATTTGCTGATTATTTTGTTGTAGGAGAGTTGCATGGTGCATTGTAGGATATTTAGCAGCAATGCTGGCATCTACACACTAGATATCAACACCTTCCCCCCTCCAAGGTCTGACAATCAAAATTGTCTCCAGAAGTTGTCAAATGTTTCCAAGAGGAGCAGACAAAATTGTACCTGTTTAATGTTTTAATGTTCTGGACTATGGGCAAAAAGGGATTTTATTTGGAAGCAAAAATTTGAACAGGGTTGAGTGATGTTCTTGGCACATGGCACATCCTTTCTGCTGAACCTGTTAATGTCAGCCAGAGATGGACTATAACCTCCACATAGTTAGCACTCACTGATACGTCTGTGATTGTGCAATAGCTCCCACTCACTCTTTGAGGCAATCAATCATTGCTGATCATGGTCCTAGACAGTCCATATGTGTGTGTGTGTGCATATGTGTGTGTGTGTGTGTGTGTGTGTGTTTTCCCAGGGTCTCACAAAACTTTCTAATCGTTTGGGACCTGTTTCTAGGTTATAGTAGCGGAGTCAGATGTATCCGTTTTTATTTTCTTTCACATGTATTCTTTCTAATATAAGCTTCTCCTTTTGGGGCTTAGCCATTTGAATTCTGAGTTAACAAGCTTGTAAAAGCCAAAACCTTATGCTTTCATGCTTAAATTCTCTCCAAAAAGTTTAAAGAAGTTTGTTTTTATTTCTACTTCTGTTCTGTGCATATAATTGATCACTCTGATCTATTTTAATGTGAATAACAATGCAAAATAAGTGGTAGTAGTTGATAGGGAAATAAATGCCCTGTAGTTAGTATATCAAAATATTCCCTCACTGCAAATTTAAATAGATTAGTTCAAAAGTATTGGAAAAAAATATAATATTTCAGTGTTACATGTCTATGAAACCTGGGTCGCATTATTATGAAGCCATGACTCATAAGATTTAGTCTCTAAGGATGGTTGCTATTTTGCAGCATGATTTACAATGGGAAATTAATGAAAAGGAGATTGTATTCTTTTATATGTTACAGAGGCCACTACAGATGGTCCAAATCATTAACTGCCTACCAAATTTTCTAATATATCCTTTTAATTTTCAAGCATGGAGAGAGATACCTATCCTGTCCTCAATTTAGTTTAATAACTTCTTGTCCTTTTCCCCTCATTCTTTCTTATAGAATTTTTAAGAACAAAAGGGCTTACCTCCAAAAAGGGGCAACATTTTCCTATATGTTGTGAAGAAAAAGAAACAGCTTCAGCGAGATTGCCATCCTCTTTCAGTCCAGGTTGAAGGGAAAGGCTCAGCACATAAAAGCACTAGCAATCTGTGCTGAGTGCTGAGAGAACACCAGAAAGGAAGTTCTCCATCTGTGTAAGGGGAGGAGGGAAATGGGTGGGCCAGGAAAGCATATATGGAGGACGTGGGGTCTTGAAAATGAAAAATGTGCCAGAAGGAGAAAAAGGAACTGCAAAAGTGTGATCTCGCACTTCTCTCTTCTCAATCTCTCTCTCTCTCCCTCACTCTCTCTCTCTCTCTCTCTCTGAGAGAGGATCTTACTCTGTCACCCAGGCTAGAGTGCAGTGGCATGATCGTAGTTCACTGCAGCCTTGAACTTCTGGGCTTAAGTGATCCTCCTACCTCTCCCTTCTGAGTAGCTGGGACTACAGCTCCACACTAGCACAGCGGGGTAATATTTATTTATATTTTTCCTGTAGAGATGGAGCCTCACTATGTTACCCTAGCTGGACTCTTACTCTTGGCCTCAAGCGATCCTGCTGCCTTGGCCTCCCAAAATACAGACTATAGGTATGAGCCACTACACTCGAGTTTTTTCTTCTCTTCACTCTTCTAACCCTTACTTATCTCCCATGCAACTATTATTTATTACAACTTGTGTTTGCGTGTGGTGTCTGAGTGTACATGGTCTCTTTCCTTATATTAGACATTTCTTGAGGGTAAAATTATGTGTTATATTTACTTATTATTCCTAAGAGAGCAATTTAGTAGATTGTAGATACTTGACAAAGGCTATATTTGCCTGTTGCTGAACTTAATTCCTTTATGCAAAATGTGAATCACATGTGGCTACATAGAGGCCTTCAAAATCTTCAGCCCATAGAAGGAAAGCACAGAAACTATAACTCACAAGACACTTCTGAACTCATGTGGAGCTTGGAATAGAAGTCTGGAGGAGGGAAATTCCCCAAAAGATCACAGATGTATTATTTGCAGATTAGTCAACATATGGCATGTTTAACTGCAGCTCTGAAAAAAACAAGACTAAAACTGATGGTTCATTTTTAAAGTAACAAGGTATTGAGGCTTCTGAACATCATTTGAAAATGCCAGTGTTGGCCTGGTGCAGTGGCTCACACCTGTAATTCCAGCACTTTGGGAGGCCAAGGTGGGTGGATCTCTTGAGGCCAGGAGTTCGAGACCAGCCTGGCAAACATGGTGAAACCTTGTCTCCACTAAAAATACAAAAATTAGCTGGGCGTGGTGGTGGGTGCCTGAAATCCCAGCTACTTGGGAGGCTGAGGCAGGAGAATCTCTTGAACCTGGGAGGCGGGGGCTGCAGTGAGCCGAGATGATACCACTGTACTCCCTCCTGGGCCACGAGAGTGAAACTCCGTCTCAAAAAAAACAGAAAAGAAAAAGGAAAGGAAAGAAGAAAGAAAGAAGGAAAGAAAGAAAGAAAGAAAGAAAGAAAGAGAAAAAAGAAAGAAAGAAAGAAAGAAAGAAAGAAAGAAAGAAAGAAAGAGAAAAAAGAAAGAAAGAAAGAAAGAAAGAAAGAAAGAAAGAAAGAAAGAAAGAAAGAAAGAAAGAAGAAAGAAAATGCCAGTGTTTTGTTGACTCAAACGAAATTACCGAAAGCATATTTCACATTTTAAAAATTGAATTGGAAATTCCAAAGTAGTTGAAAGTTTGGAGGGGAATAATGATTTTTCTAAGGGGGTCGACTGTTTGTTTCATCATAAAGTCACAATCTACTACCCCTCTTTCTCCCACAGGAAAAGAAAAAAACACACAAGATATGAAATGAAACCATTTTAGTATTATCCGAAATGTATAATCTTCTTCTTCATTCATCTTGAACAGTAAAAAGAAGCTTGGAAATTTAAAAAATAAAAGATTAACACTAAATCCCAGGAAAACATCCAGAATTCACTGTTACTATTAAGATCATTTAACAATGAGGAGGCCTCCTTGCTCTAAATTAGATCATACATTGATCATTCATTTTAATCACAGAGAGACAGAAACTTTAGGACTCCGTATGACAGAGTGAACAAAAGTTTCACGTGACTCCTATGCCTTATCAATAGCAATGCCCACTTTATTTCCACTGATTACTGTTTTAGGTTTTAAATCTCTACTTGAAGGTGGACAGCTTCAATTTTCTGGAAGATTAAGAGCCTCACAGGTGCACTACATTTGTGCATGGGAAGAACAGATTGCCAAAGCCTCTTATCTGAGACTCTGGCAGGCTCTACTGCAGTGCAATCCCATTGTTTGAACTATGACTCCATAATGAAATCCAATTACAATTTCTTTTTTACAGTATGTTAAATCCCCATGGACGTTCTCCCTAATATATTTATGGAGATATATGTATTAAAAGCACAAGACAGGCATACTTCTAACCAAAGAAAGAATATCACTCATCTTTCCTCAAGACAGACATGCATCTAGTTATTCATAAAGTACAAACCAATACTTTGGTTTAAGGACTGTTTTCATCTTTTATTTGTGTACTAATTTTCTCAAAGAAAAAATATATATCTTGCCGTTATGCACTGAATGTTGTGTCTCTTATAGAAATCATAGGTTGAAGACTTTACCCCCAGCGTGGCAATATTTGTAGATGGGGCCTCTAAGAATTAACTTAGGTTAAATAAGGTAATAAAGGTGGGACCTCGATCTGATAGAATTAGTGTCCCTGCAAAAAGAGACACCAGGCCAGGCGTAGTGGCTCACGCCTGTAATGCCAGCACTTTGGAAGGTTGAGGCCGGTGGATCACGAGGTCAGGAGTTCGAGACCAGCCTGACCAATATCGTGAAACTCTGTCTCTATTAAAAATAGAAAAAAATTAGCTGGGCTTGGTGGCATGCACCCATAATCCCAGCTGCTCAGAAGGCTGAGGCAGAAGAATCTCTTGAACCTGAGAGGTGGAGGTTGCAGTGAGCTGAAATCACACCACTGCGCTCCAGCCTGGGTGACAGAACAAGACTTCTTCTAAAAAAAAAAAAAAAAAAAAGACACCAAAGAGCTCTCTTACCTATCTTACCATATGAGGCGAGATTGGCCATCTGCCAGCCAGGAAGAGAGCTCTCAACAAAAATCAGTGTCCGGATCTTGATCTGGGACTTCCAGCTTCCATAACTGAAAAGAAAATTCTGTTGCCTAAGCCACCCAGCCTGTGGTATTTGGTTATGGCAGCCTGAACAGACTAATACACTTGCTAATACCAAGTAACCTTAGGCTAATTAGAAAAGGCACAGTTAGGCTGATAAAAATTAGAAACTACCTCTTCTGAATGTTAATTTTGTATTTATTTTTTCTAATATATAATTAAGTGATATTACAGTATGGTTCTCAGTTTGTGTTATTCTTTGAAAGTAATTTTGGAAGAGAAAATGTAAGTCAGAGTATTGAAAAACCACAAATTTGAGTTTTTATCTGTAAAATTCTAAGAATTCACATAAATCCTAACATAATTTCCTGTTAGCTATAAGTTATCTGAAATTGTTAGGTAAGTGACTTAAGATTGATTTTATTTCTAATTTTTGTTATAACCTATAAATTTTTTTTTTTACTTTTTTAAAAATTAGTATTCATTTGTTTTAGTTGTTCTCATTACATCCCCATCTTTAGTTCATTGTATCTGCCCTCTAGTGCCTTTAAAAACATTGTATAATATTTGGCTATACCTTCCTGATACAGCAAGAGCTCTGGCCTATAGCAATTACATTCTCCCTGGAAGCAACAATTTGAAGAAAATTTTGTAAGTAGATTGTATCGGGACTTTCCTAATTTACAACTTTATTAAAAAATAGTCACAAAATATGATGAATTTTGTCAAATTGTTGTTCTGAATCTGTTACAGCAGGGAATTTTTCTATTTTAATCTCTTAATTTGGTGGATTACATGAATTAATTTTTGTAGTGTTAAGCAACAGCCCTTGCCTTCTGTGATGCCTGTAACTTCCTTGTTATCCATTTTAAAGTGGTTTTAGTTTGCTACTATTTTGTTAAGATACAGCTACATTCATAAAGGAACTTGGAATGAATATATGTATGAAGCTAGAATATGCTTGATACAAAAATTCAAAATAGGGCAGCATGAAAAAGAAAGAAATATATATACATACATAGTATATATATATAGTTATCTATCTGTAGTCTTACGCATACGTATATATGTGTGTGTATATATATTTTTCTTTTTCATGCTGTTCAATTTGGAAGTTTGAATCACAAATATGCTAGCTTTATAAAATAAGCTAAGGTTTTTACTTCTTTTTGTATTATCTAGAAGCGTTTTTGTTTAACTGGAAATTTTTAAAAAATTTTTTAAACATTTGATAGAAGCTACCAGTAAAGCCACTTGAGCCAGGAGTTCTCTTTGTGGGAAGATATTTCACTACTTACTCAATTTTATTAATGGTTATGTGATAATTTAGGTTTACCTATTTCTTCTTTTTTTACTTTTTTGTTTTATTTTTGTAGGTACTTATGTTTATAAGGTACATGAGATGTTTTACTTAGGCATGCGATGTGTAATAACCACATCATGGAAAATGGAACATCCATCCCAGTGAGCAAAATTCTTTGTGTTAAAACAATCTAATTATGCTCTTCTAGTATTTAAAAATGTACAATTAAATTATTATTGACTATATTCACCCCGCTGTGCTATCAAATAGTAGATCTCATTCATTTTTTCTATTTTATTTCTTCTGAATAAGGTTTGCTAACATATACTCTAAAATATTTGTCTATATTCTTTAAATTCCAAATTTATGTGCATAAATTATGTCCTGTTATTTTATATTTTTAAAACCTGCAATTTCTGTAGTGTGTCTTGTTTTAATTCTTGTCATTAACTATTTGAGCTTTTATTTTTCTCAAGCGTTTTTCTCTTTTTCACTATACGAAATTTATTTTTGATTATTTTTCATTTATTATTTTTTTCATTTCTATTAGCCAGAGTCCACTCATAAAAGCATAAACATTAGACATATTAGACACATGTGTTTGTTTAATGTTAGTCCACC